ACTTGAATTCGGCAACATCGAGACCCTGCTACTGACAGCCCCGCCATACTGCCTGGCCGTTATCTGCGCCTTTGCCAACGCATGGCATGCAGATCGCACCGGAGAACGGTACTTTCACGTCACCGCACCGTTGTATATTTCCGTGGTGGCATTCATAATTGCGGCTACTACCACGGCTACTGCACCCCGATATGTGGCGATGATGCTCATGGTGCCGTCGTTCTACTCCGGCTACGTTGTTGCTCTCGGCTGGATCTCAAATACCCTGCCTCGTCCGGCTGCGAAGCGAGCCGCTGCTCTGGCTGCTATAAACTGTGTTAGCAATGCCAGCAGTATCTATGCTAGCTATATGTATCCTAATTCTCACGCTCCAAGATTTGGTATGTGTCTCTCTATCGCTGGTTTTGTTTCTAGCAATTTTGACTAATTATGGTCTAGTTCCTGCCATGGCCGTCAACTGCGCAACAGCTTTTATCGCCATTGTCTCTGCTACTGTTCTCCGATTTATGCTCGTACGTCTTAATAAGAAGCTCGATCGTGGCGAGGAGGTCGAGGGTGCTGTCCCTGGTGAAGGAAGCCGTCGTGGTTTCCGTTTCTTGGTTTAAGATTATATCATTTGGATTTGGGCTTCATGTAGTAGGAATAATCAAGGGATTTGACTCACGATAATGATGTTCTTGTTTTAGATGGCTATCGGCTATAGTATGCCTCCTGGACTAGGAACTGTAATAGATATTGAGAATATCACAAAATGATGATACGTAATAAAACACGTAGAATGCTAGATGCTATCTCTGAATAATTTCACCACAGCCACCTTTTAAGCTCCTGCACTCAAGCAAACTTCAGCCTCTCCTTTGTCCAGCCAGGCCTCAAATCCTTAGTGTCCATCGAAGCAACATCCAACGAACTATCAGCAAGATAATTAACCCGCCAGTCAATCCCAATACTAGCCCCCTCCTCACTCTGCCCCCAAACCGCCACACCAATCGTGTTCTCCCCGGTATAGTCCAAAATACCCACAGGAACAGGGTAAACAACCTGGTTCCCAATATAAGGATTATACCTTCCATACTGGTACCCATTAACAAACAACTGAGCCCGATACTTCGTCGTCACACCAGCCGGCGTAGAAAGCACAAACGAGATAGACACATCAGTGTGCGCAGGGATAGAAAGGGGGATAGTGGTACGGAAGAAGCGCACTGTCGCGCCCTCGAAGCTAAGAACAGATGTCGAATCCTTAGTGGATACCTCCTTTTCCCAGGCCGAGTCGTCAAAGCCGGGTAGATGCCATCCGACGCGTTCAGCAAATAGTCCGTCCTCGTTGTACACGCCGCGCACCGGGTCCAAGTCCGATTCCCCGCCCGCGGTGCCGGCTAGACGCCAGTGCGTGAAGCCCGAGTCAGAGCCGAGGAGGTTGGCGTCCATGATGCCGCGCGGGTTGAGGGCGCCGGTTGTTTGGTCGTGGCCGGTGTCGTCGTGGACAATTAAGAGGACGTTTGGTGTGTCGGTTTGCAGGGTTGCGTTTGTGAATGATAGGGTTAGGTTTGCTTGGGATGTGGTGGCGCTGCCGAGGTAGGAGGCGAGAAATTCGCCGTTTAGCCAGGCGGACCAGCCGCTGTAAAGAGGAGGTCAGTATTACGTTGGCTCAATGTGGTTTTTATGGAACTTACAATGCGGATCCTCCTTGGACGTTGATGAAGGCTCCTGTCGCTGTTCCGTTGAAGTATCCGCGCCACAAACGAACGCCGTTGTGGAATCCGTATTCGTCGGCGTAAAGGACGGGTAGACTTGTCGGGGTTCGAGGGTTTAGCGTCGTCATGTGGTTGGCATCTGCAAAGATCAGCTACCTTTTCTCGCTTGATGCTCATATACCAGTGAGTAACTTACCAACCCACGCCACGCCGGAGTCATCATAATCTGTGAACCGCTCTGGGAGACTGTCTTTCGATTTCCACGAAGTCAAAGCTGGTAGCTTGATAGATTTCGGGGCGCTGAGAGAGCCCTTGAGACTGCCGTACTCGGTCGAACGGGTGTGAACCTTCTTTCCATTCCAGGTCACAGACTTGACACTCTTTGGTGCAAATATGTCCAGTGTTGTTGCGTTGACGACGTCACCAGTTATCGCGAGCTTAGAGCCTGACAGCTTAGCGTCGCGGACGAGATACGGACCCTGGATGAAGACTGCAGCGATAATTAGTATTTTGAGCATAAAAGTAATTATAAAGAGAACATACCACTCTCTGTCTCCGGCACGAATGGATCATTTGTGAGTGCAGGAGCCCAGAAGTCATATGCCGCAGTTCTATCAAGCACGATGACTCTAACGCCGTGATCGTATTCCAGAACAGTCGTGCCAGTGGATTGCGTGAATGAGGTCGTCAGACCGCCATGTTCTTTGATGAACTTGACGCGCGAACATCCCTGGCATTTCTTGATAGAACCCTTCTTGGCTCCCTTGATAGAGAACTCGCCAGACTCGCCAGTTGGAACCCAGAGAACAAGTGTAGGCTTCTTATCGAAGACAGTATATGTCAGAATCTCGGCTGTCGAGTACAGCAGGGTCTTCGAGCCGAAGGTGAAGTCCGTCACGATGATCTTCGACTGATGTCCGTTCAAGCGAATATTGCTGGCATACTTAGGGACAGTCAAAGCACCGACCGAGGTATTGACCTTCAAGTGGAAGGGCTCATTCGTCGAGAGGGAAGTGTTCGAGTGGAAAGTAGCATAGAAGGCGGCATTCGTCTCCGGATTCCGGAGCTCGTAAGCCCTCACAGCGGAGTTATCAGTGTACTGCGTTCCATTACCGACCAACTCGGTCATGGTCAGATCCTTCGCGCATCGAGTGAACAATGCCAGCAATTTTGTCTCATGGTATTTCGACCAGATAGACCGGTCCTCTGAGATCGGCGCCGAGTAGTCGTAACTGCTAGCCGTTACCGGCGCAGCCATAGCACCAGGGTTTTGACCACCGAACATCATGTACAAGGACATTGCTGTCACACGCTGTCCGATGTTCCAGCGGTAGAACAGGTTGGCAAAGTCGTCACCAATATCATCGGGGCAACCGCCTTCAGGTCCGCCCCAGGGGTTGTACGAGCCGCCTTGGAACTCGGGCATGAAGCCGGGCATACTGGGCTGGGATTCCTGGAAGTAATCGTGGTATTCCAGGACCTGGAAGGGGATATATGGACCATTGGTGGAGGTGCATTGGCTGAGATCACAGGTCCAACACTGACACAGAAAGTAATTAGTTTCTATTGTTCTTCCTCTTCTTTCCCCATATTTTCTCTCGCTGGAGAGATGAAACAGCACTTACCGAAGGATAAGAGTCCACACCAGGGACATCAACATTCCCACCAACATCAGTCCCAGCAGACCAGTCCTTCCCCCACGAGTGGGTGTTCATATTGGGATCATTCACAGTCAGCGGCAGTGTAATGCCATTCTCACGAGCATTGGCTTTGAGTAGCTCCATATAAGCAATGGCAGTCTCATTCGGCACACGGAGGGAGGGATCACCCAGCCATTGCATCCCATACTCATTCTCGATCTGATAAACGATGGAGTTTTGGCCATCAGTTACCTGGTGGCGGCTAGTGATCTCCGTTACTTCGGTAAAGTATGGGGTCCAGGCATTCGTATAACGGTCATCATCATTGCGGAGGGTGCCATACTCACCCGTAGTCACCCACAACGGGAAGCCGCCAGCATTGGATTCAGCGTTGACGTACGGGCCGGGCCGGACGATGATGTACAAGCCCAGTTCCTTAGCGAGCTCGAAGATGGGGGTGATATCGCGGGCTCCGGTTGTGAAGTCCACTGTTGCGTTGTTTGGTGCGTGGTACGCCCAGCTGGAGTAGAAGGCGAAGGCTGTGAAGCCGGCTGCTTTGATTTTCTCGAGGATGTCGCGCCATAGGGCTGGGACGGGGATACGCCAGTAGTGAAATTCACCAGAGAAGATGAAGATACGTTGGCCGTTTACTTGGAAGCTGTAGTGGTCCCATTGTACGACAGTGTTGAGGCCGTTATCTTGCAAGGGCCATTGCGTGACGGCTTGGTCGTCTGCTTTGGTTGCGGCTCCGAGACAAGCTAGGAGGACTAGCAGGCAGTTGAAGATGCGCGTCATCTTGGGCCGTGGACCGCTCTTTGACAGGGCGAATGCTTTGAGACATTGCTGGGGTGGCCATGATCGATTTATAGTTGGTTCTTAACCAGCCACTGAATTTAGAGTAAATGCGGCGTTCAACAGGGGTCCAAGCAAGGTATCGGATGTTTATTTTCCCTTCCGTCTGGATTTGTGGAATCTCCGATGTTTAGACGGAGAAACCCCACATTTGGCCAGGTGGTTCAGTGATGTATGCATATCATGTACAGTCACACCGCAAAAGTCTTAACAATCAGTATTCTGCCGGCAATTTGATTCTCCACCAGTCAGAATTCGAAGACAACAGGTTCCCGAATCAGAAGGCGGTACAAACAGGGGTGTTAATACTTTTGCCGACTCAAATGGGTGAAGGTTTGGGGGGAATATTCACTAATGCATGCACCACTAGATTTTAGAGCGAGATGGCTCCTTTCCTTTTCCGTTTCCTTGCCACTTTTGGCTCAACTGAGCGTGGAGGGCTGGGCACTGAGTGTTACATAATCATTGAACTCGATGGACAGCATCACCCGATTCTTATGTAAGCTGGATTACTTGCCCAGGTGCTCACTGAGCGTGATCTGAACACTCTGGTTTGCTCACTATGACCAGTGATGAAAACACTGCTTGATTATGGGCAAATGCTATTTGGTGGATTTAAGGACAAAATTCGACCGAGTTTAACTCTTCAGAACGGTAGGCAGAGACGAGACCACCAATTTATCCGCAATGCCCATGATCTACAGGAATGGATTGCACAGAAAATCAAACTGAAGCGTAATATTTCGCGGCTATTCTGGGATTGCAAAACAAATTGAAGACATCCCTTCCGACTGGTTGTTCACCGATACTATCACTCCCGGCTTATCCGCGCCTCTCTCACATCACCCTCATCGAACGTCAGGTCAGCAACCTTCATAGCAACTTGGCTTTGGGCCCAGTGAGAGCGGTATTTTTTGCCAAAGAGAAAAACGAGGGGATAAGTGGACAGGACTCCGACTGAAACAGCGCAGAGAGCCCACATGACTTGGAATGTCCCAGCACGCACAGCCCAGTCATTAATAAAGTACGAATATATGAAGATAAAGAGATTCTTACAGGACATGGAGCAGAGGAAGATCTCTGTTCGCATTGGTCGAAAAGCGTCCAGTGAGTAGTTGGCTGCGGAAATTAGAACGAACATTATCCCACACAAGCCTAGCCCATGTAGGAACGCGGTAAGATAGTAAGATTGCCCAGTTTGAGCGGCATATCCAAACCCGACAAATCCCGGGACTGCTAGGATGCCACCTGCACCAAGAAGTAGGCGATATTCCGGCTCGAAATAGCCTTTGTTGTTCTGGGAACATTTCCGCACTATCATGTCGCCGGTGAGACTTGCTACAACAAAGGCCACCCCTCCGCCAAGAAATGGGGCCAGAGAGAGGTATCCAACACCACTGGCAGTGAGGAAGTAGGGGGCGGCAGTGAAGACTGGAGAAAGTAGATAGGCAGTGGCCACGTATATGCTGAGAAAGTACCCAGACACAATGACGGACCAGAGAACGGATAGGTTGAGACAGGCCAGGATAGGCATGCAGAGTAACGTAAAGAAGTTCTCTGAAGAGTAGGTCCCGTTGTATACCCGCAGCTCGTGGACCCAGGGGGCTTTGGGTGGGAATATAGGGCGAATGTCCTCGACATCCTCAATGGAGACGCAGCTTTCTTTTGGCGAAGGTGCGATCGGGGGCAAGATTGGCGTTGCTCGGCGATGTTGGGTTTCGGGAACAAACAAGAATTGCAGCACGAGATGAACGGTTTCAAAGATGATGAGGAGATAGAACAGCCACTTCCAGCCAAGCTGAATGGTGACAGGACCGCAAACGACGGAACTGAAATTCGACACGCCGCCCAACACGAAACTGAGAATTCCAGTGTATAAGCCACGTTCGTGTACAAAAAACAGGTCGCCAACCACGGCTAGCCCAAGTGCTTCATAGGCGCTCACTCCGAAGCCTTGAATGATGCGTGCTGTCAAAAGATTGCCGTAATTTTGAGAGGTGGCCCCGATAATGCTGCCCACAATACCAATGAGAGAGGAGAGGAGGAATGTGGGACGCTTCCCCCATTTCCGTGCAAATGAATTCACGAAAAAGACCATCAAGGCCACAACTAGCAGTTGATATCCGCTTGATTGTACAACGAGTGCTACCGAGGTATCCAGTTCATCGGCAATCTCGACAAGGCCAGCATTGAGAAGTGGGCTGACAGTACAGCCGTGGATGCAGACTCCAAAGCAGATCACGGCCATGATCAGCAATTTCTTCCTCTGTGAAAAGTTCAGCGGGTTGTTTGGATCGTCGTCCGGCTGCGGCGAGAGAATGATATTGCCATGCTTTCCAGGCACATGTTTCAAGGCACTTGTGAAGTCGCGTTGGGTTTCTGCCTCGTCGTCCAGAAGTACAGTGCCTGGAACAAGCCCGGTATGTTGAGGTTCAATGATGTTCAAATAACCCATTATGCACAATAGGGTGGTTCAAATTCAGTAAAGTGTTGCGAGTGTTTGCTCTGTGTCAAATTTGTATTATGAGAACTGAGACCTCGAGGTCTTCTTAAGTTCTTGGGGGACGCGAATAGGCATCGCCCACAGCTCTCTAACTTTCCTTAACTCTAATATCTCAGTGGGGTGAGCTAAGAGAAAATCCGGGGTAGTTAATTTCCCCAAATAGTGGCTGGATTCCCCAAAGTTGGGCCCAATGCCCTTCAAGAAATGAAGCTAGCAGTCAAAATATGACCCAAAATGGAAGTGGAGGGAGGGCTAGGCATGTGGGGTAGTCAATATGGTCATTTAAGGCCGATGTGGCAGAGTTCTTCCCCAACTTCGAGATTGATGGGGTAAATGAAAAGTATGATTGTACGTGAGTGAAATGAGTGTAGGTGAAAATATAGGCATACATTTGATAATAGAAATGGAGGTGAGATATGAGACATACAACCTTGGAGGGCTTCATTGCACCATGTAATTACATAAGTAGAAAATATAGTCCTGGAGGTACCCCACTTGAATTTGAATCTATATAGAGGGGGGAAAATCCGCATAAATTCCACTTGAAAAAAAGAATTTGATTCTATCCGATCTGAAAGAGATTTGAAGCAAAAATGGCAACCAAACGTACTTTGCACCATACTCTACTTGGGGAGATTCATGGAAAAGAATACAGCTCGACTGTAGAGTTCCTTGGAGTGAAATACGGAACTCTGGAAGGAAAGTTCTCTCCGCCTGTCCTATACAATGGGGATAAAAGCGATATTGTGGATGCTACGAACCCAGGGTACCGAAAGATGTGTGATTTCATTGTGTGAATGTGTGTTAATTCATCATATTGCCTCCAGTCCCGCATCGTCATCGCTGGCCGATGGCATGCAAAGAGAATTTTCCCTCATTCAGCAAGCTCTACCTCAACCTCATATTGAGCAGTCTGAGACAGAATGCTTGAATCTGAACATCACGGCCCCCAAAGCAACTTCGACCAATCTTCCTGTCGTGGTATTCGTCCATGGTGGTGGATTTATGATCGGCTCAAATGCCTGGCCACAGTATAACTTCCGGCGTCTCGTGGACCTTTCCATTCAGGAAGAAAGCCCAATAATTGGTATCACCATCAAGTACGTGTATCTCGACTCTCTACCAACAAGATAAGGAGGCTCATACATGTCAACTTCTAGCTATCGACTTGGTCCGTTTGGATTTCTCCACTCCGCCGAGCTGGCTAAATTCGGAGGAGGTCAAAACAATGGCCTCTACGACCAGCGCACTGCGCTTCTTTGGATACAGAAGTATATTGCTGGTTTTGGCGGAGATCCAAACAATGTCACCTTTGTTGGAGAAAGCGCCGGTGGTGGTACGTATCCCAGTGTAAATTTGTGAACCATCAATCTAATATCTCTCTCAGTTTCCGGGACTCAACACCTACATTCGAAGGTCCCGTTGTTTACGAGACTTGTCAGCATGGGAGGCACAAACCTTCTGGTGAAGCCCTTGCCGGAGATTGTGAATGAGCACAACTATGGACAACTGTTACAGTCGTTGAACCTTCAAGACTTATCACCCGAAGATCGTGTCAAGGAATTGGAGGTCTTGCCAGCGGAACGGATTTTGGCGTCTTTGAGCCCTGGCATGGCTTTTCTGCCCAGCTCCGGTGGAGATCTCAATCTGCCAACTAATAACTTTGAAGAAATTTATCTTGGCAAGTCTCAGGGTGCTACGCACCCGGGCAAGTCATGGTGCAAGCAGATCATGATTGGAGATTGCGAGATGGATGTAAGCCTTCTAATCTTCGAACAATATCTAAAAACACCAATGCTGACCTTATTCAGGGCAGCATTCTTCTTACATTGCTTGGTCCCCCAAAGCCGGGCGTCTTCCAGAGATTCAAAGACTCCATTCAGCTATCTCTGGGGGTTGAGGGCATGGAGCTGATATTCCAAGCATACGGAATCACCGAAACCGCTTCTGAAGAAGAGACCTTCGCGACCATTTTGAAGTTTGGCAATGACATCAACTTCCTTGCCCCGGTATTGGTTTATGCCCATGGCTGGGATAGTGATGCATTCATCTACTTCTTCAATGAGCCCAACACATGGGACGGCCCGTGGAAAGGTCACGCCAATCACATATTAGATGTTGCCTACCTGTTCCAAAACTACAACGAGGCTTTGACCGAAGGCCAACGCCACACAGCTACAATTTTCGGCAAAGATCTAATTCGATTTGCGAATGGTAAAGCGCCTTGGCCTGTGTTCAATTTTGGTGCCAATGAGCTTAATGCTAGAGTGTATGGCTCGAAAGACCCTGAAAAAGTTGCGGCCAGAGTCGACACAATCCCAGGCCCCAGTGACAGATCTGAAAGGCGGCAGACCATTTTCCAGCTCTCCCAATCCATTCCTCTAACCAAATTATCTGATGCATGGGGATCCTTTATGAGCGGTAAATGATCGAACTGGGATCGAAGTTTTGAACTGTGAGAGTACGTACTTCCCAAGGAAGTGTGGAAATCTATCACGGGGAGCCGTTGAAGGTGCTTATAAATTGAGTAGTGAGATAAGTTAGGCGAAATATCTAGAGAATAACTTATCTGTTGGCAAGAATTCGAAGCCGCTTCCAAAATTCCGTGTTTAAGTAGTAGTTGTTACGGCTACTGGCGAAGGGGAGGGAGAGGAAGAAGAAACATTGTTGTTCAATTCTAGCGAAGAGCAGGGTCTTTATACCCTGCCTATCAAGCAAACAAACGCTCAGTCTGACAAACAAGTCAAAGGACAGTCTGATATCCAACAGTAGTTGAATCAAAGAAAGCATGGGAAGGTGAAGCATCATGATCTCTAGAGAACCTACTATAGTGCTATGGAGAAAATAGTGTAGATCTCTGTCAGAGTGGACGAAAAGACGAAGAGAACGAGGAGAGAGAATGTATGGGGCAGTATTGCCTTAGGCACCCAACACCTGTCGAATACACTGGTATCCTGAAATGTATGGGTCCAATCAATGGTGTTAAAATCTCTGTATTTCAGTATCCCTTTTCCTAGCAATTTATATGGATTACGGATTACTAATTCAAAATTACTGCACAACCTGGATTAATTAAATCCCCGGTATGCCGGTCTGTATACTCCGACACACCCCCTCAGCGATGCCAGTATGGGATTGCTGGAACCCCACACACCTCGGCATACTGATCTCTGTTTCTTTATGCTATCAAGTGGCCTATATCCACCATATGAAGCATTTGAATGAAGGCTTCATGCTTTTGCCGAGTAAGCAATTTCGTGAGTCCATCGGCTGCCATGCTTACTGTGGGCACCCATTTCACCTATATCCTCCCTTCTTTGACTTCCTGTCTCAGCCAGTGGCGATGGATGTCGACGTGCCTAAGCTTTGTTTCGAAGGCTGTATCCTCGCTCTTCAATAGGCTGATAGTTCTCTCATTGTCACAATCGATGGTCAATTCGTGGGAGGGGTTGAAACCAAGGGTATTAAGTAGTCTCCTCCACCATTGAAGCTGCTTTGCTACTTCGGAAAGCCCGAGTAATTCGGCTTCGGTGGTGGAAGTGGTGACTGTAGGTTGCTTACTCGCCTTCCAGTCCACTAGGCCACCGTACACTTGGCAGATATACCCAGCTAAGCTCTTTCTATCAGAATGATCCCCGTACGAAGCATCACTTACGAATTACACCGAGTCTATCCCCGAACCTACACCGTATTCAATGGCAAGACACCGGGTAGAATATAGGTAGGATATCACCCGATCAGCTGCTTGCTGGTGCTGGGGACCTAGGTTTATTAGGTATTGCGCTAGGCGTGCGGTGGCCTTTGCGGCGTCGGGCCTCGTGATAGTGGTGGCATACCCAGCAGATCCCACCTTTTGCTAGTAAAGAAGGGTCTCTTTCGGGGTGGCCACCCCCTGAAATGGGGTCAAATCGTCGACTAGTAGTGGGGTATAAACCGGTGGTCTATCTATCAGATTGTACCGAGTCGCGATACTTGTCATATAGCTATCTTGGCATAGCCATAGCTTCTTCTACTCCCTATCCCTGATGATTCGGATATTTAGGAACCAAGCTGCTTCTCTATGATCAGTCAATTCCTAGTGGGATTCTAGATCTCGTTCAAGCTGCTTTGCTTTCTCCCGTATAGATCTGTGGCTGGCGATCAAGATATCGTCCATATAGAAGAAGACTAGTAGTCCTTCTCCTATAAAAACACATGGGTCTTTAGGTGCTTGCTGTAACCCTAATTTACGGAGTACGCTGGCTACTTCTTGTTGCCATAGCCTAGGCGAGACTCGTAGACCATACAAAGCTCGGCGGAGCTTCTAACACTTACCTGGAATCTGGAAACCTTCAGGTATATAAGTGTATATATCCTTGTCCAATTTGCTATTTAGGAACGCCGTCACAGCATCTCTTTGTCTTAAATCGAGGTCAAAGGCAGCGACTAAGGCGAAGATCATCCTTGCTATCCTTGCTGCTAGGGTGGCAGCCCTCTTTTCTTTATAAGAAATGGTTTCTAAATCTCCTCGTACATAGATACGAGCCTTTAGCTTAATAAGATAGCCATCTTCATTAAATTTGTACGTAAAGACCCATAGCAAGGGGAGTATCTACTTACCTCTATCCTTTGGCCTTTCTACAACCTCGTAGGTATCCTTCTCTGTTATGGGGCCGTCGTACTTCGTACGAAGCCCTATGGAAGATGCTTGCTTATGCTGCGCGGAATCTGCCAAACGTTACCGCCTTCGACGGAATATGTACACATTTGTTAGCTCAGGAGAACTCCTCTCCTCAACGAAACCTTCTTGTTCTTAAAACCCGTCTAAGTTGCACAACTAGGCTAGTTCCGTAACATTAGGTTTCGTTCGTCACCTTTATCGACGCTTAGTAAGGAGTTCCTACTAGTACAGAGTGAGAGACAAGATGTCTTACCAACCACGACGACATAATACCTTTGATCACGACAACCTACCAGACGCACTACCGGCACAACAAGCGATGGGAGAGATCTTCCCCCACCACGAGAGAACGATAGGATAGAAAGGGGGCCGACCCGGCCAACTTACCCCGATGTACGAACCTACAATGGACAGGACCCTAAGGAGTACGCAGCCTTTCGTACGAACTTGAAAATCAAGTTCTTGATGGATGCCCACTACTTTCACTCCGAGGAAATGAAGACCTACTACGCGTTTAGTAGGCTAGAAGGCATTGCGAGCCAGCAAGCCCACGCATGGATCGTAGCAATGGAGAATGAGAAGAAACCCCTCCTTCTCAATGAATTTTACCAAGCCATGGATCTCTACTTTGAAGACCCAGACAAGGAACAACGTGCCCTCGTACGAGTAAATTCGATGAAGCAGGGTAGGAGGAGTCTCCACGACTTCCTATCTGAGTTCGACCAGACACTAGTTACCGCGGGTGGATTACACTGGTCCGATGCCCAGAAGATGGCCCTTCTCCGGACCGCAATCAACGTCGATCTACTCCAGAGTACCGTCGGAGCTGAATTCGCTTCGTACGATGACTACCGGAACCGCCTTCTTCGGATCGACCACGACCTTCGGCAGATTGAAACGCTCCAGAAGAAGAAGTTAAGACCCTTCTTCCGTGGCAATCTCAGCAACACCCAAGACGACGCCGGCAGGATGGACTGGGAACCTACTCAAGCAACTAGGATCGCCGCCCTAGAAGCCGAGATCGCGGCCCTAAAGACAAACCAAAGGAGCAGTCCTTCTCGTACGAACGAACGGGCAAAATGGGTCTCCCGGGAAGAGATTGACCAACGCCGAATGAAGGGGGAATGCCTACGCTGCGGACAGAGAGGGCACCTGATTGCGGGCTGTAGACTACGGCCTGCCACCCGACCTCTAGAGGTGAACGCTGTCGATGCAGATGGAGACAACGACTCGGGAAAAGAATAACCTTCGTACGAAATCGTGTACGGAGGTCGCTAGATACTTCAAAATTGAAACATTCTGTTTGGGAAGAATTTGAAGCCACGCGTATGAACTCCCCACCGTTTGTCATTGCCGCGACCCTAGACCGACAAGCTATGGCCCGTACCTTAGTCGATAGCGGATGCCTATCGTACGGAGCTATCAGTGAAGCCTTTGCGAAAGAAAGGAACTTAGAGACTTTCGAGATCCTACCACGAACATTAAGAGGAATAGGAGGAAAGGGGACGATTTCACAAATCGTACGAACCTCCCTCTCAATTGACCACCACTTTGAGAAAGAGACCTACTTCTATATGATCCCTGATTCCATCGGATACGACCTGATTCTTGGCCTACCCTGGCTGAGACAACAGAACGCTTGCTTCGAACCTTTAAGGAACCGGTTATATCTTCGATCATCGAAAACCCGCCTCTATGGGATCGGCAAAACTCCTCTCCCCGATACTACAGAGATCTCGGCACTCTCAATGCATAGAGAGATTCAGTCAGCAATAAAAGACCATAATTCGTACGATTCCCAAATCTTTGCTGTCTCTATGGCCGATATCGAGAAAGCATTGAAAACCAAGAAACCAAAGGACCTAAAGGTGGAACTCCCCACTGAGTACCACGAATTCCTCCCTTTATTTGACCCCGACGAAGCGACTAAACTCCCACCACACCGCGGGGAAGGAATCGACCATAAAATCGAACTTATACGAGAAAATGGTAAAGAACCAATAGTCCCCTGGGGGCCCCTCTACAATATGTCGAACGAAGAACTTCTAGTGCTACGAAAGACCCTAAATGAGCTCTTGGATAAGAACTTCATTAGGGTTAGCAAATCCTCAGCAGCAGCACCAGTGCTATTCGTACGAAAGCCAGGAGGAGGGCTCCGTTTCTGCGTCGACTACCGAGCGCTAAACGCTCTCACAAAAAAGGACCGCTACCCCCTTCCCCTGATTCATGAGACGCTGAACCAGATCGGACGAGCGAGATGGTTCACGAAACTCGACGTATCAGCCGCGTTCCATAAGATCCGGATTGCCGAAGGAGAAGAATGGAAAACCGCGTTTCGTACGAGGTACGGACTTTACGAATGGCTTGTTACCCCCTTTGGCCTGGCCAACGCGCCGAGCTCATTCCAGAAATATATCAACTGGTCCCTACGAGAATACCTAGACGATTTCTGCTCCGCCTACCTCGACGATGTATTGATCTATTCGGAAGGGAACATCGAAGATCATCGAAAACACGTAAAGAAGGTCCTCCAGAAGCTACAGGAAGCTGGCCTACACTTGGATATTGGGAAGTGCGAATTCGAATGCACCGAAACCAAGTACCTTGGCTTTATCGTACGAGCAGGAGAAGGGGTTAAGATGGACGCTGAAAAAGTGCAAGCGATACTCGACTGGGAAACACCAACCACAGTCCGAGGCGTGAGGGGATTCCTCGGCTTTGCCAACTTCTACCGACAATTCATCCCAAACTATTCAGAAGTCGTACGAC